AAAAAAAAAAACAAAAAAAAACTACCAGGCCCTTGAACCATGAACTTCAATAGAGGGTTTGGAGCACAAAGAGTCTAGATGAGTGAGGTGAGAAGCAAAAGACAGAAGTATCATATTAGAAAAGGTTGATGCAAATAACTTCAATTTTGCAAAAATATTAATTTTTGGCTTTTCTGAAAAAGAGTTCATTTGCTAAAAGGGAGATGGAAATACAGTTGCTGAATAAGTTCTGACTAAGCAAACATTAACCCGTTTATTACAGCTCTGCTTAATGTCAACATCTGACTTAATCACGCTTTGCGTTTGCACTCCAAACTAGTAGATGGAAACCCGAGTTTGCTCAAAATTTACATTACAATCAGATATTTAAACATAGCTTATGAAATGTCATATGCAGCACATCACGATTTTGTGACATCTAAAATAACACTAAAGCTGTGAGTTTGAAGGTCCTGAATCACAGGGTGAAGTGGGTAAAACATGGACAGTGTGACTGGTGTAAAGGGGGTAAATGCTACCAAGTAAGACAGCTTCCGTTTGGAAGAAACAGCTGCAGAGGATGTTTGGTGTCCAGAGGGCTTAACACACACCCAGACACTTGTGAGATGGTTTCAAGGATTAAGAGCCTTTGCTTACAGCTGAGAGGCCTGCAGAGTGTGAAACTGGCTGGGATGTCAAGTTGCGAGGAGAAAGTCTACAGGGTGCCTGCAGCTACTAGAGAGTTCAGTTTAAGACTTCTCAAAGGGAAGCCTTTTAATGCCAGTTAGGTCATAATATAAAACCAATTTCACAAGAAAAATGAGCTTCAAGTGGAAAAAAAGATAACTTTGAGATTGTTCTTCACAGTTGTCAAGAGAAAGACATTAAAAAGCTTTTGAGGATGCCAGAGGGCTAAATAAAACTGGAAAATATTCAAACAAAAACCACATTGAGGACTTCACAAATATCTTTTCATGTGAAAGTCACCTGATCTCCACGCTTGAGTCCGGCCTCTGCTGCCTTGCTCCCTGGCTCCACGGCATCAATGAAGATGCAGAAACCTTTCTCTTGACCTCCGAGGAGGGTGAAGGCCAGAGGAGAGTCTCTGGACGGCTTGGTCAGCGTCACCAGCCGCGGCTTGGCTTTAGCAGCACACGCTATGTTTAACAGTCTGAGGTGCCCACACATTTTCTGCAAAAAAAAGAAAAAGAAAAAAAGAAGGTATTAAAAATATAACAGAAATATGGATTTCTCTAATTTTTCATTGCATTTGTTGAAGAGACGTACCTCCTTCTCCAGATTGCTCTCAAACTCCTCCAGAAAGTGGGTCATGGCAGGGTCTCCCTCGAAGTCATTAAAGTGATTGTTTACCCACAGCAAGACTACCCGTGTAACCTGAGAAAATCACATGACCGGCACACGTTGGTATCCACGGCAACATCTTCACAGGGCACCAAATTCAAAACTAATTCAGAAACATTTGAATGTAATCAAAAAGTTAATTATTAGGGCAGCTCCGCCCTGTTGGCCGTACCTTGTCCCTGAGACTTGGGTCGTGAAACCACTCCAGGAGCTTCTTTCCCACGACCATGGGGCTGGAGAGGAAGGTCCTGTAGGTCAACAGGAAGTCCTCGATGTAGGTAGGATCCACCACTGAGTGCTCCTCCACCAGGTGCATGGTGAGACGCTCAGGCGTGCCCTGATAATCCAGAATGAGGACAGAAGTTTACAAGTCGATCCTGCAAAACTTGTACGTCTGCAGAAGACAGTAGAGGTGTCACCTTGATGACAATATGTCCTTTCCTGGTGCCAGTACGATCCAGTTCACGGTGTTCCTTCACCATGACGATCTCTCCTTCCTCCTCAACCTTCTGCATGTTCTTCTCCACCTGGTTGAGGATGCAGCAGTAGTCCTGCTGGGCTATGCATACAAACTGAAAGAAAGGAGGCGATTCACTTTACCACAGTAGGAGATACTTCTACAAATTAATACAATAAATGTTTTATTCAGTTTAATAATTAAAAACCAGATCCCTCTACATATAAGAGGGTGCTACTGCTGGAAGCAACTTTCTGTGTCATGATTGCAAACATTTCAGCACAAGTGGGGCACAGTGGGACACAATAATGCAGGATGACAGGCCTCCTGCCAGGTTTTGCACACTGAAATGCAAAGGAAATGGAGCTGTTCATGCTAGCAGAGTGTGACAGATCAACTCAAATTAGGGTTCCAACCTGGCAGTCGTCCACCTTGGTCCTCATGACGCCTTTCATAAATTCCTTCTCCATGGTTGGAGACACACCGAAGCTGTTCCCCATGCACAGCATCTCTGTCCGGCTGTCAGGGTAGGTCACCTCCACCGAGCCGTTCAGGATCACCGACCATGAGTCCAGCTGCAGACAGAAAACAGGAACAACTTCAGATTTCACTTCAGAAACAGTTACCTGTGATGAATCGATTACTGAAATAATCAACTAATTTAGTAATCAATTTATTTTTAACTGGAAAAGATCATTTGCTAACACAACATCACATCATAACTGTACAAAAAATATATACATTTAGCACCTAGGACTAATAAACCTTATTAGTTTTTTTAGTATGTTCAATTTGAGTGGCAGTAAGTCACGGGCGGTGTTGATGTTAGACCTATGTCTTTACATACTTCTTAGATACATTTGAAGATGCTACAAATGATCAAGCGTACACAAAAGAAAATTCTATTTTTGCATTTTAGGCAAGAAGAAGTTAATTTTCTTTTTGTATAAATTAGGATGTGGTGGTTAAATGAAAAATCTGCAAAATGTGGCAATTTTTAATCCAACCAATCGTGTGAATAATTTATTACTAATAATAGTTAGTTGCAGCCCTATTTCAGATTATGCAGAACGTTGTTTCTGGACTTCCATTTAATAAATATGATTTCTGACAAAAGTAGATGCAGAAATGTATATGTCCACATTACTCTAACACCTTGTTTGCTTCCACAGGGAAACTTCAGGACTCAAGAGGAGAAAACATGACGCCAGGTTTGGTTTCTACTCTTCCAGTTGATTTTAAAGTTCAAACATCTTTACAAACTTGTTCTCTTGCCATAATCCCTGTTGACCGCTGCAGTCCACTATTTCCCATTCTTTCCATGGTATGTGTTTTAAAACTATATACATAAGCTATGGAGAAACCGATTCAATAAATACAACATGCTCATGTTAACATGTCTTAAATTATATCTTATTTTATTTTCAATATTACATGCTGTGTATGCTTGTCGTTTTTAATCATTGCTCTTTTTAAGGTTTTATTACACAATTGTTTACTAGTTTTAGAGTAACTTCAATGTTCATTTATTTTATGAACTGATGTGAGCAGCACTTTGACCTAATACAGATATAAGAAAGATGCTTTATAGGTTTGTCTACCTACAAACTGAAGTGATACATGGTTGGATTTTCAACAGCTGGTGTCCCTTAATGAGTCAAAGCCATTAAGCAAAAAGAAAGCAGAATAACAGATGGTTTCTTGCTCTCTTTCTTGGGAAGAGGCGATCTTAAATGAGGATTGTTGCAACCACTGCATGCTTGATTTAGAGCAAAAAATTGATATACATTTAGTGGAAAAAATATGTTTTTTTTGTTGTTTTTCTTTTTACATAAATTCATCAAAATCTGACAACCAATAATAGCAACAACATGCTTAAAGCCTAAGTTCTCTGAACGCATTAATTTACTCTTGAATCAAGGCCTTAGAGATAAATTCTTTATCCTTTTGTTCAAGTGCAATGCATTGAAAATATGAAACCCAAACCAAATGGTTGTTTAGCTTTGGGTGCGTGAGGGAACCTAGAATGACCCAGAGATAAACTATTTGAACCATTCAGGGTTAACAGAGCAGAAAAAACATCCAACAGAGGAACAAAGATCTGCTGGTGTGTAGAGGTCAGACTGACACAGAACATGGAATAAAAATGCACCAAGACAAACCTCTTCTCCATCATTGAGAACGATGGTGCCGGCTCGCTCCACCACGGCGAACACCATGACCGCGCACAGCTCCCTCCTCACCGACATGGTCATGTTAGCGAACGCTGGCAGCTGATGCATGAACTCCAGTAATTGCTCTGTGAAGAGGGACAAAAAGAGAAGACAGGTTGTTCAGACAAAAACCATCAAACTCTGGAAGAGGTTTGACTCCTGGATGGGAGAGAGAAAGGAAGCAGAGCTGCTGGTTAGCGTGATCCAGCATCTCCCCTCCACCGAGACAAGAAGACCTGATCGTCACCGCAATCATCATGGAGCCAGCAGAGGAATCTCTTTGAGCCAAATATCAATTCTATTGATATAGTCATCTGAGGGAGGCCAAGAATAATGGCTGACTAATCACACTGTGACTTTTTGAGTCACTCATCATTCCTTCAAGCTGGATTAAAATCAGAGAAATTCCTAAGCACAACTGAGAAAAGTTTATTTCTTAACATGCATAACCAGCTATCCAACTATGCTAGCAAGTGCAAAGCATCGGCTGGTTCCCAGTGACAAGATATGCTCAGGGAGGGGTGTGCAAAGTGCGGCCCCGGGGCCTTTTGTGGCCCTTACCTTAGAATGACACAAATTCATTTATTAAACTTTTGATTTTTAATCAGTGTAATTAACTGTAACTGTAACAGTGTAACTATTGACATAATTTTCTTACAATGGAAAAGTATTTGTATTTTTACAACCAAACGTTTATTATGATCTCACAGGAAGATTTTGCTTTACATTAGGACGGATATTAACTTTCTCATATCAGCTTGTGTACAACTCTAAAAGGAGCAAGATGAAAAATAAATCACTTAGGAGCAGGATCATCATTTCTTTTTATTTAATATAAAAGCATTCAGATCACATCATGGATCTTCGGTTTTCAATATTTGTGGAAATATAGTAAAAAGGTTAATCAGAATCTCTAATCAGTCTGTTTTTAACCTGCTATGTGCATTTTCTCCATAATGCTGAGCTACACCTACATGGATGCCAGTTTTGTTCTTTAACATATCTATTCAGGATGAAGCTTGCAATACTAATTTTAATATTTTATAAACGGAATAAAAAACTAAAATGACTAAATTCCACATGTACAATTGCTTAAAAGCTGTAATTATTCTCTTGTATCACTACTGACAGTCAATGAAGAAAAACATCCAGAACATCTTGCACCTTGGTCCTGACCAGCAGCAGTCTTGTGCACCGGCTGACCTGGGCTTGGCATGGCAACAGCGTTGTGTGTGAAGCTGCGATATCGCTGAAAGTTTAATGCGCTGGGAGAGGTGAGGCGAGAGGATGTGCTGGAGTGACCTAGAAAAGCCTCCCGGCAGAGGGAGGGAGGAAAGGGTGCGCAGCAGGGAGATCAGCGGATGGAGAGAGGGGGAAGGGCTGGCGCACGCTCCTTCTCTCTCTGCATCCAATGCATCATCCTCACCCAAAATCCACATCAGCTGCTAAGCCCCGACCGACTCTGTGTACTTCGTTTTTTAAACACGCCTATCATCAGAGCTGGAGTTGAGTCATAGCTTTAAAGGATATGATACGAAAAGCCTGATGTGGCTTTGAGAATTACTCGAAAGCCAACATAACAGCCGTGGATGTTTACTGTGGCTCATCTGAATAACAAGTGGCTTTTATTACGAACTGGGAAAAGGAGATGAATGCCTGGGATACCAAAAAACTTAATTAAGAACATCTAATTAAGTGTTTAGATGCGCTCACTGATGAGTATTTGTCATGGAAATCTTATATAAATCACATAAAAGTAAAAATAAATAAAAATTGCTGTTTTAAATAGAGTAAAGGAATTACTAAACAAAAAGGTCTTGTATAGTTTGTATAATTCACTAATTATTCCATATGTGACATATTGTGCTGAATATTTGAAAACTGTTAAGGGTCATAAGTGGAAGTGGACAGAGAGATCACACAAACCCAATACTTACAGTTAAACTAATTTTATGTACAAAATGTGGATTCAGGTCCCTGATGATGGAAAGATGCATTTCAGTTAAAGGTGCCAGTTTATGTGCGACAATCTTCACAGTGAGATAAAACTGCTTAACCTCTTTCTGCAATTAATAAAAAATTTAAATTATTATGATGAAGCAATATGGTCTTGAATAAGTTAATGTTTTGTTGTGTATTTTTTATTGTTTATTTGAAATATGCCTGCAGTAGTCATATGAGCTGAATATCTGATTTTATCTTTGTAAATAGGGAGCAGAGCTTATAAGTTTATACTTCTTTCTGTTCCATTTCATTCATGATTTCGTTTAGTTATGTGAACAAGACATACACCGATGTGATATTAGTATCTGTATTGGTCCTGATATTGAAAACAATTCTAGATTGGGTATCGGTGACAGTGTGACAAAGGGAAGATCTATTCAGTCTGATTCTATGCTTTGTGCTCTGGGTGACCTTATGCTCAGAACCCAGGTGTTTAAAAAAATAAATGTTTTTCTGGATCGGATCGTATAGGCCGATACTGAACCTCGGATATCAGTATCAGAAGTGAAAAAGGTGGATTGGTGCAACCCTGACATGAATTACTCATATTTATTATTGTGTAATGAAATAAAAAAAATCATAAAATGAAAAATGACATGAAATGTGGCTCCAGGATTGAACATGTAGAAGTAAAACCCGCCCCTAGTGGCTCACCTATGTCATCATCCGTCCGGTCCATGGGGTCCTTCTCCAGGCAGTCCCGGACGATGTCCCGGCTCATCAGGGGGTCGGAGGCTCGCTCGATGTCCTCCTCGTCATCGTCCTCCTCGGAGTCCACGGCGGTCTCGGGCAGGCCGCTCAGGTCCATGTCGCCTGGCTCGTTCTCTGTGGCCTGAGGGGAGCAAACAGATCAGAGGTTCAGCGTGTGTGGAGCGAGAAGCGCGCTGCGGGACGCTGTGACTTCGTCAGAGATCAACCTGAAGCAATCACCTGGACGCTCGTCAATTAATTAATGACCAGAAGCTTTACAGCTGATACGCACGCCGAAGCTGTTCTCCAGCACAAACATCATCTGCAAAGACTCGTTCCATATCAAACACTGAGATTCAAACCGCCTTGTGACATGAGGCATTGAATACAGTATGAGAGAGACAGCATATCAAACAGGCTGCTATGCATAGTAACAAGCTAATTAAATCCTAACTTTCTTCTCTCCTCCCCCCTCAGCAGAACTCCACAGCCTGCCTTGCAGCCAGATCCTGTTCCTTGAAAGCAAAAGATAAAATATGTGCACAGCCAGCTAAGAAGAGCGAACATGGAGCAGATACCCGTGCATGAGCGCTGCAATCAGTTCCTCTGGACCACACAAAACATCAGTTCTGAGGGTACCCGACAAGAAATCTTACCACAAAACGCCGTTCACCTTTAGCAGTTTTAACAACAAGAGTAGAACAGGCTGCTTGAGCCAACTGTCCACAACATCTAAGAGCCAGACGCATTGTCGCCTCCAGACTGCCGCTCTGCTTTTCATTTTTTAATGCTCAGACGTACTGAGTCGTTTCTCCTCAAACGCCATGTGGAAAAGGCTCATTAATGATTCAGCGTCTGACTGGCCATTTGGCCTCCATTGGTGCAAAATCTGGTGGGCGGAGCCAAGCTGATGTCTGCAGAGATGATGCTGGATGCAAGATGGAGAGCTTTACACATTAGTGTCTACAATACTGCAACTGGAAGGTCACCAGGTTCGCTACAGTTTGGACAAAATACTGCGCTAAAATGATGTGTTTTTGTTTTCTTAAGCACATTAAGCATATATGAAAACCTCAAAAACCTGCAGCGAGCATTAGGAGTCAGCGGGCTGTTAATATTTCATGCAGGCTATTCTTGGATCAATGCTTTCAAAGGACCAATATCATGATTTATTCACACACAAACAGTCGGCCATGCTGGCAGTGACGCGCCGATGATGCAGGGGCGCTCCACTCCAGTCCCAGGATGTGGATTTTACAGCAGCTGCAGCAGAGAGGCCATGTTGTTCGACCACTCAGAGCTCCCATCCATAACCTGCTCCCAGTCTGCTTAGCAACTCTCATCACAGCATCAAACTAATAAAACGCTAAGCAGCATGCTTCTCTGTTTACAACCCGAGAAGCTTGGAAAAGCAACAAAACTAAAAAGAGTAGCATCACCACTCTGACATCATACACATGTTGGAGGAAGATGTTGTAATTTTCAGTTATTGCTCATATGATGATAAAAAGGCAAGTTGTCAGAATTTTGGAGGAATGACACATTTTAGGTAATCAGCAAACAAACCAAAACAACTGATTGTTCCTTTTTGCATTTTTACATCATTAGGAGCTGACAGCAGTTCGGCGGAATCCCTTTTTCTATGGTTAACCAGTCACTTTATGCAGGTAGTGGGTGCAATATTCCACTGAGCAAGTGGGAAGGGAGTCTCCCAGGAAGCTGATACAACACTAGTGTTTGTGGATTTCTTCTATTTTAAACAGATGTCATCTAATAAAATGAAGTCTACTAAATATGCAGCAGTCATATTCAGCTTTTCTTCTGGGCTTGTTAAAAATAAAGCTAAATGTAAATGCATCAAAAAAATCAAAACAACGTAGACACAATAGTGGCCTTCGCTTCTTCTAGATTTTGCTATATTCACTTTGTTTGCTATGGAGAATAATTGGAAATGACACTAATTATAAAGATATGTGTTGTTAATATTCTGATAGTAAAATATTTTGAAATGGGTTAAGGTTATACAATTAGAAGTTTAATATCTAAGAACAATACACGCTGGACTATACAATTCTTATCATGTCATTAAAAACACATTAATTGGAAAAATATTTAAATTCAGGAGTTGATTAGCTTGAATAACCCCAAGAGCTCCTCGTTTCCGAAGGTTTTCACTTCCCCTCTTGGCACCTAATTTAGGAGAGGAGAAAAACTCCACTGAGAACTGAGACATTTACATTTATCTATGCAGCATGCATTACTTTTAAAGCTTGTTAGGGAAGAACAAATACAGAGGACCAAATGTGCCCTAAAGAAAAATAAATCTAATGCACCAGTATTTAGTTTTTCAGTACAATATTGCCAATATAGTTTAACTGCACAAGATCAGGAAAATATCTAAATGCAAAACTGTTGCTGAAAACTGTTGATGTTGATGACATTAGACATATTTTGACATGTTAAACATTAAAGATACACCACTCAGGTGTTAAGAGTCCATCCAACTGGTCAAAGGCAGTGTTAATAGGCTAATGTAAAGCAAATAAATCCCATCATATTTTGGACCCAAGTCGCCTTTTGCAACTCTGATATTATACTGTACAGATGTACAATATACCAAGAAAAATACATTATAATGCACAAAAGTTTCAAAACATAGGATTTCAGGTTTACTAATCTACAAAAATTCTTATTATATCAGGTATGTTCTTCTAAATATAAAAAAATAAAAATATTTAAACAGAAATATGACATTTTCTCTCTGTTTTTGATGGTTAACAAGAATTAAAATCAATTTATTAAATAGGGATGTTCAATACGTCATTATGGCATCAGTCTTTGATGTTGAAAGGTAGAGAAATATATATATATATATATATATATATATATATATATATATATAAAACTCCAGGCCTCGAGGGCCGGTCTCCTGCGACTTTTAGATGCGTCTCTACTTCAACACACCTGAGTCAAATAACTCTGGAGAACTTGACTGCACTGTGGAGGTGATTCAGCTGTTGGATCCAGGTGTGTTGGACCAGGGAGACATCTAAGAGTTGCAGGACACCGGCCCTTGAGGACCTGGATTGCCCACCCCTGCAGTAGAGGGTTTCATTTCAAAATATTTTAAATTAGGACATCTTATCTCTGTTACTATTATTGCTGCACTGGATTTGGTGTCATAAATAATGTAAACTTAAAGTATTTATATTTATGAGTTGTCTGCTAGCTTAGCTCCACTTTTTCCTGAGACAACACAGAAACAACTGGGACTCCGTACCTTATAGAAACAGCTAAAGGTGAAGGGTGAAACAGGATTCAGCTTTGGACTGATAAAAAACCCACTAGATGAGCTATTAAACAGTTGTATATTTAATAGTCATAGGTCATAATTTTTAATTTATTCATAATTTCCAACAAAGCTGCAAATATGGGGAAAACAGCTCATTGCAATCAAGAGTTCAGCAGGGATTACAGAAGGTAAAACAAAGGAAGAAACTGAAGAAAAGTGTTAAAAGTTTACAAGAGGAAGACAAAAGCAGAGGACGGTGTTTGTGAATGTGACATAGAAAAACCCAGATCCTGTCCCAGAGCTGTGAGCAGATGGCACTGAGACCCGGATCAGACCGGACTACAGACAGTAAAGCCTGTTTAACCTGCTGCAGCCATCTTCAACAAGGCCTGACATCCACACACAGAATCCGGTGATATGATGAAAACATTCAGCAGCAACCCGACAACCAGAACCAGAACAGAACCAGCAAGAGGTCTGAGATAAACAAAGAGAATGTGACTGAGTGTGGCCCTGCGGGAAGTCACAGGGACACACACAAACAGGAACACAGCAGGTCCGATGGGCGGCTGTGTGCCGCTAAGAGGATTAGCTTCAGGTTTTGGGGGAAGTCTATAGTCATGACATTTGGCAGATGTGTGTCCCTCTAAGCTGGATATTTAGTCCACCACTATTTTACTGAAATTTATTTGGCTTCATGTAGCGTCTGAACATGAGTAAAAGGTAAATCAGCGAGGTTAGTGAAAGATTTTAGTCAGAGTTATATCATAAGAGCTGCCAACTCTGCAGGACTTGTGTGCTTCTGGCTCTAACGTGATGAAAAGGCAGAGATGGAGGCAGGCAGGATGTGGGCTGGACCACCTGCTCGGCAGCATCCAGCCTGTCTGCTTGCCACCTGCAGAGCAGCGCCGCTCTGCTGTCAGGGTCCTGTAGCAGCTCCGCCAGCAAAACCTTTGAATTACGCTGGAAAAATGTTCTGCTTAAAAAGATCATGGAGAGTTCACACAGGGATGGATGTCAGCTCGCCACAAGGAGGACATTTTCCAACTTCAGCTCGATTCTGATTCCATTTATGCACATATTTAAGGTTCATTTCATCCAAACTCAAATGTTATTTTACGGAATTCCTCAGAGAAAAGTGAGATAATTCAGCAGACCGAGACATCCTCGGTGTGACTCTACACTACCCAGGCCTGGCTGGGGGTCCAGGGCCGGTGAGTGGAGGCCTTACCTGGTAAATGTCTGACAGGCTGCTGCTTCCAGAGTCACTGGTGATACTACATCCTGAGTGGCTGGACGAGACGTGGGTCACCTGTGGGTGTAAGCCGTCGGCCAGGTGTAGTCTGCTGAAGTCTGCAGGGAGCTGCGCACACACACATACATACACACAACATACACACACATGGTCAGTGTCGGTCAGCCCAGCAGCCACCTCTGGTCGAGCGCTAACACACATGCTGACTGCCACGAACTTAGCTCCGGTGCGTGGGGACGTGAAAGATGAAATTGATGGTTTTATGCTGGGTTTCTATAAGTTTCATGAGGTTAAATTAGATACAAAAATAAATTATGGAACATAATTTAAAATTACTGATGACTTATGTGGTTGTGTTTCAGCTCTGGTCTTCTAAAGTTGGATTCCCTAACTTTAACACCTTTTAAACTATTTTCATGTCTGATAGACCGGTACACTGGGTTTGATTGAGAACAAAACTGCAACATTTGTTACATTATTAGTTGCTTTGGTTTTCTATTACACAGCACTGTGTCAAACTAAATAAACGGTTTAAGCAACCTGTTCCGCTCCTCACCTGAGGTGGCGCTGCACCAAGAACCACTAAAGGAAACGACACAAAAACCTCTGAAAAAGACCCCGAGTGCAACTTCCTTCTTCACAAATGTAAACAAAAATGGAGACTCTGTTGTGTTCAGTCAGAGGTTAATCACAGCCGTTGCAACACAGACCGCTTCGGAAGACTCTCCCAGCCCAAAACCATCAGCATCTGCAGCAAGTCTTTGAAAAAAATTATACACACAACAAAAGTTTATTTCCTTCTGGGATTAGTTAAGTCATTTTGAATTAAATTGTTTTTATACCTGTAAAGTAAATCTGGACATATTTCAGAGTTTTGGTTTAAAACTGGGATAATCAATCAATCAATGAATCAATGAATGAATGAATGAATCAATCAATCAATCAATCAATCAATCAATCAAATTGTATTTGCATAGCACATTTCAGCAGCAAGGCATTTCAAAGTGCTTTACAACATAATTTTATTAAAGACTTATGTACTTATAAGACCCTAAGAAAACTTTGTCATTCTAACCTTTTTTTGTGAAAAATAGCAGCAAAATAACTGGGTAATAATTAATTTCTTAGATGTAATTGTGCAACATCAACAGAACAAAAACCCAAAAATCTGTGTTTCTGAAAAAGCTCTTATTTATATACAATTTGGTATTTAATTATAATATAGTAAGCGCCAAAAAGGAATATTACTTTAAAACTTTAACAACATAAAAATAATTGTGCCTGCCTGATTTTGCATCAAGTCATCAATTTAAGAGTTCACTAAACCTGCTATTAAGTAAAGCCAAAAGGGGAACAAATCTGACAAAATAAACTCTCCAGGGGCTAAGACGCTGAACAAAATAGCTATTATAGTGTCAAAACCCAATCTGAAAATAATTGGGTATTTTTATTAAAACGGTGCTCAAATGCAGAAAAAAAAAATTCTTATGGCAGAAGAAAATTCTCTAATTAATGCTTCACAAGCTGAATAAACTAAACAAACATGAAACAGTAATGGGGGAAACCCCTCTGAGTAATTTATGCTGCATAAAGTAGCAGCTGTAATTAAAAATAGTGTAAATGGGCCAACCCACTTCTCTATGGAGATGACCCCGAAATTTTAAATACATCAGAAACAGACAAATAGATCTGGAACCTCCAGAAATACAGCTGCTTTGTGATGTTCTTCGATTTTAATTTAGCTGGGTTATTAAACAACAGCAAAACTAATTCTGGAAATCAATATCAGCCCAACTTTTCATATCTTTCATCCCTATTTACAAGGTAGTATTTTTTTAAATAAATCCATCATATCTGATTAGTCAAACGGGGGAGGAAAGAAACTGGTTCATGGTGTCTGTATATGTGAATATTTTATATTCCATATGTTTTATTTACCAAATATTTATTTAATACTTGGAAGTGGGATCATTTCCTCTGAGCCCCTTTTCAGCCTAACTTTTGGCTGTGGCAGATCATTAATTTTAGATTTAAATCCCCCAAAACTCAAATTGGTCTGATTTAATGAACCAACTTAACTCATCAAGAGGCTGGAAAGTTGGAACCAGATCTAAACATCTGGAGAAGATTTAGTTTAGTCTCCTGCAAGCTGTTTGAGTTTAAAGTCTCTGAATATTTTTTTAGTTTAAATCTTTCCCTAAACTTAAAAACAGGCTAATTTTCCATACCAGCTGTTTAAAGGGGATACATCTAAGGGATTCAAAAAGAAAAACATCGAGTTGAGTTTCTGATTGCAGGTCTTTAATTATGGCTTCATTATGGGGTTTTTGGATGTTGGCGAATTGGTTTTTCACACACCGGAGGCTGGTTTTGCTTAAGTCTGCCAACAAAGTCACAAAGAAACTGAAGGTCTTGTAAGAGTCGTTGAACAGAGCTGTTTCAGAAAGAAATTTATTTCTCAGCTGCTATGAGGGGAAAATGTGGAAAAATTAGACGTATCAATTCACAAAGTGCCTTTCTGTGTCAGTGACAAGAGACTGGGAGCCAGACAGTGGAGCTCTCGCAGCACTGAGGTGTGATGTGATTACAGTGTGTCAAAGATTTCCATCACGTTTAATTATCTGGCTGGCTGCACTAACCAAAATGGTCGACTGGAGGACCCAGTCAGTCGCTAACCCCCCTCAGGCTGCGGCTGGTGGACGGCCATGTGAAAGTCTCCACGTTATTACCACTGGCTGGGCAACGCTGATGAATCTACTGTGTCTCTCCATAACTGAGCCAATAGAGTCTCATCACATCACAGTTTTTTTACAGTGTAATACAAAATACTCAGGTTTAGAGCTGACAGGAAATTCACGCAGGAATCTATGAGATAACACTTCATGTTGTTTAAAGTTAAATTTTATTTAGATTTCTGAACAGATCCTCTTCAAGTTGTTTTAGGGACCTAATGATTAACCTGCAACTACCAATAGCTATGCTGTTTATGTATTATGCTGGAGTAAACAACACCTGGGGTTTAAAAAATATCTTTTTACTCTGCATGTCTGCTTTATGTTTAAAAAAAAAGCTGAACTGTTACAATATTTAAATTTTTGGGGGGCATACTAAAACATTTTTATTGTAAATGTAAGTTACTGAGTGGACAGGTGGAGTTTTTATTTACATATGATGCTCTAACCTGGAAGTGATCAAACTATTAGCCATTCCTGTGGAGTCCCTCAGGGTTGTGCTTTAGGCACAATTATGATCCTGCTATCCTTCTTAGTCATTTTCTGAGGAAATGTCTTTGCATGGAAGAAATCCAGCTCTACTGCAGCGTAAACAACTCAGCATGACATAAATCATCAAGTTGTCTGTCAGATATTATTAAGATGGTTAACTGAGAGTTTGCCACCCATTGTTCAAAATGGGGATTTTGAACCAAGAATGATACAAAATCTGCCCCTGGTAGAACAAGTATTTGATGCACATGGAGACCTTTTCCTTTTTTATGAATCAGGGCAACAGTATTTTAACAACTACACATCTTACTTTCTCTTAAATGTGACCAGATGTAGCCAATTAATTTTACCAAAAATCATGCCTTGATGCAGCCAAATCTACAGACAAGCGCTTTAATAGAAAGAGTGACCAATCTTTTCATCAATGATAATAAACTAAATTCTTCCAAGCAAAGAACACTGAATACTGCAAAAAATGTGCAAACTGGATGCCTTTTCTTTAATAAGGCAAACATGCACGTTGCCTACGAGAATCTGACTATTTTATCCATTTGATTAAAAAACTGCATCCTTTGTTTTTATTGAACAAATATTTTTATGTTTTTGTAAGTCCAAATTCTCTTTTTGTGCTCCACACGTACCTTTTGGTCGATTGTGGCCCATGTGACACAAAGTTTGTAGACTATTGTGTTAAATCGTTTCACACCAGTGAGAGGCATGTGAGGAACAAAGTGAGAGCAGGGGAGGCGGATATAGCAAACGGATAATAAACAAGTAATCCTTTCTCTCCGCTCATTTAGGTCACCCGTCTGTCGGTCAATAAGCCAACGTCCATTCGCTCTATGAGCATGTGGTGGCCTGTTGACCTCTCTGGCCCAACGGAATGCAGGAGCCTGGGTCAAACTGGATGCCAGTCAAACAATGACATGCTCATTAGGCTTATCCAATAAGTGCACAGCCATGAGGCCCAACATCTACTCTCTGTTGTGAGCTCTGATTGATTGAAAAATCCATACTTTAATTCTGCAGTTTAAACATGTTAACGATATAATAAACATGAACTACATCATGAATTTGCCGTCTGAGCTGTTTCTTTGCTCCATTCTGCTTTAAGTTCAACATTCTCTTAAAAACAAATGAGCTCTGCAGGACCATGGGCTGAAAACACGTCCAATCAGGCGTCACGGGGGGATTAGGCATCGCTCTAAAGCTCGAGCCACAACTCTCAGTTCTGCTTACATGTGAGCAGATGTGGTGCTCCTTAAATTACATTACAGACCTAATGACCTAGATTGCTGGGTAGAAGCACTGGCTGCCTCTCAATCTATTTACTGCTTGCATGCAGCCAGTGAATCTGTCCTGCTATACTCCATCACTCGATCAGAAGAGAAAATAAAACTTCTTAAACAGAGATTTAGACCTAGACGACATTTTAATAGTCATTTTATTCCTGTAGCTGGTTTAAATTAAGGCGACACTATGTCATTTAAGTTATTTGAATGTGCTGTTAGATTTTATTAAAACACTACACTAGCTAATAAATAGCAACTGGGAGCACATTCAGATTCTCTCACCAAGGCGGCAGCTTCTCGCTTTCCTGAGCCTTTGGGATCAGGAGATTAAAATCCTGTTGGCAGGGCGTCTGATTAAATGGGTCTGATATGCTCTCTGGGCTTTTCCTTCACTTTCTACATCTCCATCAGTCAGGCCCACACAAAGCGAGTCACGCTATTTATCGTGAAGAAAAGACTTTTCACTCCACAATGATAAAACATGCTACAAGTTGTAAAACTTTGTCCAAATGGAATTACTGGAACGACAGTCGCTCAGTCGTGTCCTTGAGCAAGAAGATTCTTCGCCCAGTTTGCCTGCTGGTGGTGGTCA